GACCTAAGGGGCAACTTTTTCACGCAGAGGGTGGTGCATGTATGGAACGAGCTGCCAGAGGAAGTGGTGGAGGCTGGTACAATGACAACATTTATAAGTCATCTGGATGGGGACATGAATAGGAAGGGTTTAGAGGGATGTGGGACAAATGCTGGCAAATGGGACTGGATTAGTTTAGGATATCTTGTCGGCACAGACGAGGTGGGCCGAAGGGTCTGCTTCCGTGCAGCTATGTGACTCTGTGACTGTAATTACACTTTATTGCGTATTCTTGGAGGTGGGCAGCCTTCCCGTAAATCTCTTCTTTATTTTCAATAACAGCCCTGCTAAGTTATACACAGCTGTAAAAGTTTATATGGCTGACAGATTACAGCAATCAAACTGAGGCAGCTGATCCCACTTGGATAAGATTAGCACGACACGGTTTTGACTTGGGCACGGAGCAGGGCCTTGTGCATAAGGACTGCACTCTAGGTCGGGTCGAAGGGAGTGTGCGCGCGAGAGCTGGGGTCGCTCCAAGGTCTTTAGCCACGGCTAGCCCCGTGTGCCCTTATCTGGTAGAAGGGAGCGCCGTCGGACAATGGGCGTTGCTCCACACGTCGTCGGCACGCTCCATTTACCGTCCATGCCTCATCTAACCCCACCCCCCACCCCCATCCCATACGAGCTGGGAACAACGTCTGGCTCAGCCGGATGGTGTGGGGGTGTGCGGGGGAGCTGGGAGCTGAGTCGTGGTTTCTTGCGACAGAGATTAGTGTGGTTTCAGCCACCAGGGAAACACGCAGGATGACTAAGCAAGGCTGGGGAGAGCAGTCACCTGACTCAGCCCTGTCAGTCCTCACGTTTTTGGAATGTTTGCAATCCCCGGCTGCTTTCAGTTTCCTTTCCCGGGTCCGATTTCCCACCAATCCCCCGACCCCGCCCCATTTTTTGTTCTTTACTCGACAGTGACTCACGAGGAATCAGGACACAAATGCAAGAATTCCAAAATTTCACACAGTCACAGAGGGGCTCACACCCATGTGTGCTGATTGGCTGGCTCGGATTGTCCAAGTCATCGCCACAGGTTTGGGCTCACCGCGCGCAATCCCATTGGCTATACCCCCCCATTCCTGACTGAGCGTCGGTGGTGGGGGGAGTGGGATGTTTGTGGATGTGGGGCCAATCGAGCCGGGGGCTGCTTTGTCCCTGGATGGTGTCGAGCTTCTCAAGTGTTGTTGGAGCTGCCCCCATCCAGGGCAAGTGGGGGGTATCCCATCACACTCCTGACTTGTGCCTTGTCGATGGTGGGACAGGTTTTGGGGGGGGGGGGGTCAGGAGGGGAGTTACTCGCTGCAGGATTCCCAGCCTCTGACCTGCTCTTGTAGCCACTGTGTTTATGTGGGGCTGGTCCTGTTCAGTTTGTGGTCAATGATAACCCCCAGGATGTTGATAGTGAGGGAGGAATTCAGTGATGGTAAGACCAATAATTGAATATCAACTATTTATTATCCCTTATTGAAGTTGATCATTGTCAGGCTGTAGTGTGGCGCAGCTGTTAGCCGTCACCTGTAGGCCCAAGCCTGGACATTGTTGGCAAGTCCTCATCTTGAGTGTGGATTTTCAGAGAACCTTCCGGTAATTTAGGAACCCCTCGCAGCCCTTTGCAGAACAAAACGTGATGCGAAAGGTCAGGGGGATGGGGGTGTGGGGGGCAGCTCACCACATGTTTGGTGAAAGGTATAGGTTTCCAGGAGTGTCGCCGTGCAGGGTGGGGAGCTGTAAGGGATGGTATATCGGAGCTCAGGGACCCAGGCTTCCAGGGGGAAGGAGCATGGCAGGGGGGAGAGAGAGCGAGAGAGAGAGAGGGGTGGTGAGGGGGAAGAGGGGGGGAGGGGAGAGAGGGCAGGAGGGGAATGAGGGAGGGGGAAAGAGAGAGAAGTGGTAACATAGAGGGGAGCACTACTTATGGTGGGCATCTTCTCCTGCTTCATATTTACACGGAGCTGACCATGCGGAGACCAGTCCAGATGGCCTTGGGCCGCTTGAGCCTGGAGGTGGGAAACTCCCAGTCAATGGCAGACATTGTGGAGATGAGAGTGCAGTGGTGGGGGTGTGGGGGGAAGGGCAACGATAGGATAGATATTTTTGAGGCCCCAGAGTGGCCCCAGGAGAAGCCAACCACCCTTCCTCCCACCCCCCCACCCCCACCCAAGACGAACACGCATCAACCGAATGCAGTCGAGGAAGAGTGAAATGATGTGGCGCCTGCCTCTTTTCTATCGTTCCACGATCCCAGTCAAAGATAGTCGCATCTTTGAGCAGGACAGGGCACCGAAGCCCGAGTTGGGGTGGGTGGGGGTGTGGGAAACGCAGACACGGTGGTGCCAGTCAGATAGAAACATGATAGAGCAGGGAGCGGCCAGGGATGGGCCTTGAGCTGGCTAGCCCACAACAACGGTGCCCACTTTGTCCTGGAGAGGGGGCATCTTTAGAAAATCTCTGGCCCTTGGCAGAGGCTGCCCACTAGCTGTTTGTCTGTTGTGGGATACAGACGGGCAAAAGCTTAGCTGGTGAAATATAACATCTGGAGAGATTACGCTCTTTGCCAGGAAGAATTGAAGAGCTGAATATTATTTCAATAAAGCGCAGAAAGCTAGGCATCAGAGGGATTTTGCAACCGCAGTCCGTGAAACACGAAAATCCAACATCCAAGTTCAGTGGGGAATGGGGAAGGCCAATGGAATGTCGGCCTTTATTTCGAAGGGAATGGAGTATAAAAGTGGAGATGTTCCTTTAAAACTGCACAAGGCACTATTCAGACCACAGCTGGAATACTGTGAACAGTTAAGGGGCCCCGTATCCAAGCAGAGATAGACCGGCCACGGGAGGCAGCCCAGAGTAGGTTCATTCGGCTGATCTCATGTACGGAGGTATTGTCTTATGGGGAGAGGTTGAGTAGGTCGGGACCTGTACTCGTTTAGAGGAATAAGAGGCAACCTTATTGAAACAGACAAGATTCTTAAAGGGACTTGACAGGGGGAGATGTGGAGAGGTTGTTTCCCCTTGTGGGAGAGTCTAGGACCAGAGGGTGTAATCTCAGAATAAGGGGTTATCCATTGAAGATAGAGATGAGGAGGAAGTTCGTTTCTCCAAGGGGAGTGAATCTATGGAATTCGTGAAGTGTATTCAAGGCTGAGACAGATTTGTAACCGGGAAGGGGGATCAAGGGTTATGGGGGGGGTGGGGGGGAAACGGCAGGAAAGTGGGAGTTGAGGATGATGAGATCAGCCATTGAATGGCAGAGCAGACTCGATGGGCCGAATGGATTCACGATCTTATTCCAGTCTTCCTCAGGGCGGGAGAAAGAATTCGAGCGAATAATTTGGGGGAATGAGGGACCTCGGCTGTGAAGGGAGACTGGGAGAAGTTGGGGCTGGTCTTCCCTGGGGAGTAGAGAGGGAGGTCGGTTGAGGGACACAAAAAAAACAGGAGGAGTGGTGGGGGGAGCGGGAATGTCAGGAAGCAGCGGGGAGAGAGGAGGAGAACTAGGAAGCGGCTGACGGAAGAAGCAACTGGGAGCGGGAGAATAGCGGTAGCAGCAAGTGGTTTAGGGTCTGGGAGGTGCTTTCTGAGGGAAGCCGGGACGGTCCTGGAAAGTGTGACGTGAGCGGGCAGGAGCTGCTGGGGTAAGGCAGGAGTACGTGCCAACCTTCCTGGCTGGGCCCTGCCAGGTGAATCGCCCCTGGCACAGAGCCCAGGTCGGTGCAGGGAAGCTCCGAAGGTGGCGTGTTCACACAGACCCCCTTTCAGGAATCCTGCCACCTCCCAGGTTTTTTATTTCGGAAGGTGAATTCCAATCAATAATTGGAGCTGATCTCCTGGAATCCCGCAGCCTTTCAATTGTCATCCCTCCCCCGTTTCTTGTTATTTATTTAGTTGGAGACAGATTTGAACAAGGGTCAGTTTCTATTTCAGTCAGGGCAAAACGAGTCACTCCCTTTAATTGATTTGACTCAGGTTTCTGTTGTGTGTGTATGTGTCTGGGCGTGTGTAAGTTATTCTTTTAAAGTTTACTCCCTAGGATGTGGGAATCCCTAGCTGGGGCAGTATTTATTGCCCATCCCTAATTGCCCAGAGGGCAGTTATGAGTCAACCACATTGCTGTGGGTCTGGAGTCACATGTAGGCCAGACCAGATAAGGATGGCAGTTTCCTTCCCTAAAGGACATTAGTAAACCAGATGGGATTTTCCGACAATTGACAATGGATTCATGGTTATCATTAGATTATTAATTGCGAATGCAAATTCCACCAACTGCTGTGTGTGTGTGTGTGTGTGTGTGTGTGTGTGTGTGTGTGTGTGTGTGTGTATATGTATATACTTACAGGGTGATAGACAATCAGAAATCCTTACAGAGACCAGTGTCTTTCCCATCCCCTCGACCTCCTGGCCACAGAGCACATCAGGGATGTTAACTTGTCAAACCTATTCCTTACACTTCCGACCATTCTCGCAATCCCGTTCCTTTTCGCATTGGTGTAACGTTGTGCAGCACCTTCCCAAACCCATGACCCACTTCGATCCAGAAGGACAAGGGGCAGCAGGTACATGGGAACACCACCCCCTGCAAGTTCACCCTCCGAGCCCCTCACCATCCCCGACTTGGAAATGTATCGACCGTTCCTTCAGCGTTGCTGGGTCAGAATCCTGGAACTCCCTCCCTGAGGGCACTGTGTGGGGGTTCCTACATCATACGGGACTGCAGCGGCTCACCCCCACCTTCTCAAGGGGGGGCAATAAATGCTGGGCCCACATCCCACGAACGACTTGAAGGAGAAGTCTGCGCCGCATTCTTGCGATCTGGGATTGAGCTGGTCCGAATGGAACAGGGAAGAACAGACTATCTCGAAAATGACCATGGCCCGGGGCTGATGTGTTGCCAGCTCCTAGGCCTAAGCTGTTTTCTCTTTTTATAAACCAAAAACAAAGACAGTGAAATCCTTTTCCCTTCGAACCAGGCGTGCCCACCTCAGACTGTGCTTGGAGCGGCTGAAGGAGTTGGTACCAGTCGGAGCTGACAACACCAGACACACCACACTGAGCTTACTCATGAAAGCCAAGCTGCACATCGAGGTAAGCTCCAACTGTGGGCATGGGCTAGCTGCTCGCCTTCATCGCTGTGCCTTTTCGAATTTCCAAAACTGTGCGATCTAGGAGCAGGGGTAGGCTATTCAGCCCCTCGAAGCTGCTCTGCCATTCTATCCCATCATCTCGGCCACTTTCTTCAGCTCCCTTCCACCCACGACTGATTAAAAATCTACCGCCTCCCCTAAATTTACTCGGTATCCCACCACCCACTGCATTCTGCGGGGGGGGAACGGATTCCACAGATTCACGACCCTTTTGAGAGAAGTAATCCCCTCCTCGTCTCCATTTGAAATCTCCCCGATCCCTTATCCCAAAACGATCTCGATCCAGTTTGCCCCACATGAGGGAGCATCCCCTCCACATCTTCTTAACCAATCCCCTTTAGCATCTTCTCATTAGATTTCCTCTCGTTCTTCTGAGCTCCCAGAGAGTACGAGCCTAATCCTGCTCAATCTCTCTGCATAAGACAAACCCCCCTCGTCTCTGGAATCATTCGAGTGAACCTCCTCTGAAATGCCTCAAATGTAACTACAACTCCCTTCGAGTAAGGGGACCGAAACTCTACCCAACGCTCCCGGTGTGGTCTCGCTAATGTCTCATCCAGTTGGAGCAACCCTTCCCTACGTTTATACTCCATTCCTTTAGCAACAAATGGCAAAATTCCATTTGCCTTACCCTGCTGGTTGTGGGCATTTTTAGAGCTGAACCGTGTGCATTGGGATAACTCCCTGCTCCCTCCCCCTGCAGCAGGTGGGTCGCCTGTCGGGAGCTATTCCCATGGAGGGAGAGCAGGCAGTGCCAACGCCACGTTCCTCCCCACCACCCCCCAACCCCCCCACAGCCTTCTTCCATCTGGATTCGCTCTCCACCGGCTGAGGGTTTGACCCATGGAGCAGGCGCGTGGGCGGGAGAAAACGGCTTGCATTTCGCTGGCGCCTACTGTCGTGGTTGGGATTCGCCTGGGTTGGCAGGCGGGGAGAGGGAGAGGGGGCTCTTCCAATGGGCAGGGTTAGCAAGGAGGTCACATCGTCCAGGCGGGCACAAGGAGCGGCTCCACAAAGGGGGGCAGAGAGACGGGGAGGGAGAGCGAGGGACAAAGGGTGAGGGGGGAGGGAGGGAAGAGGGTCAGAGTGGTGTGGGGGAAACAGAGTGGGGTTTGGAGGGAGAGGGGGAGGAAAATGGGAGGTTGGTGCAGCAAAGAGAGGGTGGGAGAGGAGAGAGAGAGGGAAGAGGAGAGGGAAGGGTGGAAAGGAGAAAGGAAAGGGAGAGGGAGGGAGGGAGGGAGGGAGGGAGCGAGGAAAGGAGGGAGGGAGAGAGAGAGGGAGCAGGAGAGAAGGGGAGGGAAAGAGAGGGAGCTAATTAGGGAGCGAAAGGCACACAGAGAGAGAGGGAGGCACACAGAGAGAGAGAGGGAGGCACACAGAGGGGCAGGGAGAGAGAGAGAGAGATGGACATTGAGACAGAGAGAGAGGTTTGTGGGGTGTGGAAACCCCAGAGCTTAAGGCTGTTGGGGATGGTGTTGCGGGGTGGGGGAGCGGGGTAGCACAGACACAGAGCAGCAAAGGAGTTCCCTATGAGGGAAGGGAAGAATTTGACAGCCTGGGCGACTGAATAGAAAGCAGTTTGTGTAACTCTGTTTGACAGAGGGTGCCGCGCTCAAGAGAGTCAGTGGCTGGGAGAGGATAGCTGAATGGCCCCCTCTCTTCTTCACTCGTCACCACCCCCCTCCACCCCCTCTGGAGTGTCGGAGACTGTGGAGCTGCTCACACAGAGCTACCCACTGTCTGAGCGGCAGAGACAGAGTGGGCTGCCAGGGGGCTCCTTGTACCCTGGCATACCCCTGGAGGGCACAGACTAATGTGTGAGTGTGAGTGTGAGACACCTTTCAATCCCTGTCTCTCTGGCAGACCCTGGAGGAGGTGAGCAGGAGGGCCCTTCATCAAATTGACCAACTACAGCGAGAGCAGAGACACTTGAAGAGGCAGCTGGAGCTGCTGCGCAGCGTGGAGAGGACACGGGCACACAGTACCGGCTCCACCATCTCCTCTGAGCCCTCCGATTCCGATCGAGGTAAACACCAACTGACACCCCACCCGGCCCCCCCCCCAAGCCTGGGGAACGCCTGGCTCAAGCGCTCTTCACTGGGGAGAAATCTCCGTGGGTGTATACACAGGCACATTCGTTTCCCTTAATGATTACACACCTCTGTCACTTGAACCTGGGCCTCCCAGTCCAGGGATGGGGACCCTGCCACTGTGCCACAAGAGACCCCCTATATTTTTTCTTTAAACTATTTTTCGAATCAACCTGCTCAGGGATGTTATCACATAACATCCGGGTACTTGAGATAACAGGGTGTAGAGCTGGATGAACACAGCAGACCAAGCAGCATCATAGGAACAGGAAGGCTGACATTTCGGGCCTAGACCCTTCTTCAGAAATGGGGGAGGGGAAGGGGGTTCTGAAATAAATAGGGAGAGAGGGGGAGGCGGATAGAAGATGGATAGAGGAGAAGATAGGTGGAGAGGAGACAGGCAGGTCAAAGGGGCGAGGATGGAGCCAGTAAAGGTGAGTGTAGGTGGGGAGGTAGGGAGGGGATAGGTCAGTCCAGGGAGGACGGACAGGTCAAGGAGGTGGGATGAGGCTAGCAGGTAGGAGATGGGGGTGGGGCTTGAGGTGGGAGGAGGGGATAGGTGGGAGGAAGAACAGGTTAGGGAGGCAGGGACGAGCTGGACTGGTTTTGGGATGCGGTAGGGGGAGGGGAGATTTTGAAGCTTGTGAAGTCCACATTGATACCATTGGGCTGCAGGGTTCCCAAGCGGAATATGAGTTGCTGTCCCTGAAACCTTCGGGTGGCATCGTTGTGGCACTGCAGGAGGCCCAGGATGGACATGTCATCTGAGGAATGGGAGGGGGAGTTGAAATGGTTCACGACTGGAGGTGCAGTTGTTTAGTGCGAACCGAGCGTAGGTGTTCCGCAAAATGGTCCCCAAGCCTCCGCTTGGTTTCCCTGATATAGAGGAGGCCACAACGGGAACAGCGGATACAGTATACCACATTAGCAGATGTGCAGGTGAACATCTGCTTGATGTGGAAAGTCTTCTTAGGGCCTGGAATGGGGTTGAGGGGGGAGGTGTAGGGGCAGGTGTAGCACTTCCTGCGGTTGCAGGGAAAAGTGCC